CCCACTTCCTCCTACCCTGGGTAACCGCTGATAAGTGTTGGTTCCTATACATTTGCCTATTCTTGTTATTTCAAGATCATACAATATTTATTCTTTTGTGATTGACTTATTTCACTCAGCATGATGTTTTCAAGATTCATCCACATTGTAGCATGTATCAGGACTTCATTTCCCTTTATGGCTGAGTAGTATTTCATTGCATGTATGTACAACATTTTGTTCATCCATTCATCTGTTGATGGACATTTAGGTTGTTTCCACCTTGTGACTATTATGAATAGTGCTACAATGAACATTAGTGTACATGCGTCTGTTTGTATAGCTGTTTTCAAGTCTTTGGGGTATATACCTAAGAGAGGAACTGCTGGTATGGTAGTTCTATGTTTAACTTTTTGAGGAACCACCAAACTGTTTTCTACAGCGGCTGTGCCATTTCGAATTCCCACCAGCAATAGATAAGGGTTCCAATTTCTCCACATCCTCACCAGCATTTGTGATTTCTCATTTTTTTTGTTCGTTTTAATCTTAGCCATGCTAGTGAGAGTGAAGTGGTATCTCACTGTGGTTTTGATTTGCATCTCTCTAATGGTTAATGATGTTGAGCTTCTTTTCATGGGCTTTTTGGTCATTTAAATATCCTCTTTGTTGAAATGTCTGTTCAAGTTCTTTGCCATTTTTTGATTGGGCTATTTCTCTTTTTGTTGTTAAGTTGTAGAAGCTTTTAAAAATATTTTTTGGATATTAGACTCCTATCAGATATATGGTTCTCCAAAATTTTCTCCCAACCTTAGGTTGTCTTTTCACTTTTTTGACAAGATCTTTTGATGAACAAAAGTAATTTTTATGAGGTTCCATTGAACTATTTTGTCTTTTGCTGCTTGCACTTTTGTTGTCATAACTGATAATCCATCATTAAAAACCAGACCCTGCAGCCAAACTCCTATTTTTTCATCTAAGAATTTTATGGTTTTAGTTTTCACATTTAGGTCCTTGATTCAATTTGAATTGCATGTGTGTGTGTATGGTGTAAGGCATGGATCCTGATTCCTTCTTCTGTATGTGAAAATCCAGTTTTCCCAGCTCCATTTATTGAAGAGACACTTCCTTCCCCATGAATGGACTTAGCACTCTTGTCAAAAATCAGTTGACCATAAATGTATGGATTTATTTCTATACTCTCAATTCTATTCCACTAGTCTATGTGTTTACTACTATACCACTACTGAACTGTTTTGACTACTGTAGCTGTATAGTATGTTTCGAAATCTGAAAATGTGAGTCCTCCTGTTTTGTTCCTTTTTTTTTTTTTCAAAATTGCTTTGGGTAGTTGAGGCCTTCTGGCATTTTCAGTAATAATTTTAGATTAAAATGTGTTGCAAATATACTAGAGAGAGAGTTCCTGTATATCCTTTTCTCATTAACATCTTATATAACCATGGTACATTTGTCAAAATTAAGCAAATAACATTGGTAAATACTATTAATACTAATAGCATTAGAATTAGTACTATTAACTAAACCACTTTATTGGACTTTCACCAATTTTCCCACTAATATCTTTTTTCTGTTCCAGGATCAAATCCAGGTTACATTTTGTTGTCATGTCTCCTTAGTCTCCTCCTGTTATACAGATTTTGAAATAATCTTAAACTTAGCGAAAAGTTGAAAGCATAGTGTAAAGAAGTGCTTTTCCTGAACCATTTGAGAATGAGTGGCTGACATGATGACCCACTACTTCCAAGTCACTTTAGTGTTCTTTCCTCAAATAAGGATATTCTCCTACATAACCACAATATAACTATCAAAATCAGAAATTAATGTCTAATCCTCAGACCCTATTCAAGTTTTACCAACTGTAGCAATAAAATCCTTTACAGAAAAAATGATTCAGTCTCAAATCACATATTCCATTTCGTTGTTATGTCTCTTTACTTTTCTTCATCCTCAAAACTTCCAAGCCCTCCTAATATCCTACCACTCAGATTTTCTTTCCTAAGAGGCCAGCAGAGGTGACTGATATAATAAAGCATATTGCCTTTTTTTTCTGTTTGTTTGGATAAATAATAATCCCAGTCTGGATCCTTCTGCATTTCACTCCCTTGCTAATGTAAGTTATACAGCGGGAAATGGCCTCACCTAGCCTAGACCAATAATTAGCTGAAGCACTTTCATCTGGTAAAAATTAGGAGGAAAGTCATTAATTACTGGGGTGATCAACAGTCCTGATTTGCCCAAGACTGAGGAGTGTCCAGGGACATGGGACTTTCAGTGCTAAAATTGGAACAAGTCTTTGGGATAGTCTTGGGTGAGGAAGATTGTTGGTCAACCTGTTCCCAAACAATAATGAGGGAAGGTGAAAGTATGAGCAGGTTTGGAAATCTCACCATGTCATGAAGGAGTGCTAGCAACAGCAACATTCTCCCTCCCTATCAGTGAGAGGATTCAGACATTGGGTCAGTTTGGTTTAGACAAGTAAGGTTTCAAACTGACTTTTGCACCATGATAGATATGCTGGGACTGCTGTTTCACATTCAATTTTAAATCAAGAATCAAATCAGATTTTTAAGGCAGAGAGAGAGGGAGAGAGAGCTCAAGCAAGAGAGACTTCAGACTGATATATTTAGATAAATAAATCTATTTTTTTCTCCCTTTTATCAGATTATTACCTGGGTTTGTAATGAAGTATTCTGTTTCACAATCCATGCATGTCCCTACTCTTTGAAAATTATTCATTTTATCCAAGCTGAATTTTGAATTCAATTTTAGAATTTATCACCTTATTACATAAAATGTGCTAATAAATAAATAAAAAATTTCATACTCAGTTTATTGCGTTTAGAATATTTTGCGATTGAAACCTGTCATGTCTACCCCTTCTACATGCAGAGCTCCCGTGGACTTCATGTTGAATTTAATTTAATTATTTATTTACTGATTTCTATTTAACAAATATTTATTGAACATATTCTGTGTCTGGTAATGTTCTAAGCATAAAAGTTGTACTCCCTGTTCTCAAGTAGTTCACATTTTCAATGCCTGAACACCAATTTGGGGCCCTGGTGGCTGAGTGGTTAAGCGTTTAACTGGTAACATTTCAAATCCACCAGTCCCTCCTTGGAAGCTCTATGGCGCAGTTCTACCCTGTTCTATAGGGTTGCTGTGAGTCAGAATTGACTCAATGGCAATTTTTTTTTTCTTAACACCAATTTAGGAGTCCCTGGGTGGTACAAATGGTTGAGCGCTCAACTACTAACAAAAAGGTTGGCAATTTGAACCCACCCAGAAGCACCTTGGAAGAAAGGCCTGGTGATCTGCTTCTGAAATTTCACAGCCATGAATACCCTATGGAGTTTACTTCTACTCTACAACACAGGGGGTCACCATGAGTCAGAATCAACTCGAAGGCAACTGGAACTAGTACTGGTAACACTGATTTATTTCTACCTCCTCCACCCTGTCGAACAACAAACAAAAGAGGCAAACAGTCAACAATAGCCATAAACATATGAAAAGAAAAGAAAATTTATTCTTTAGTCTGTGTGTAAAAATCATATAACCTATATTATTTACCAGCAGATATCTTAGTATGACATCCACTATGACACACATAATTCTCCTGGAAGTAAAGCACCAATAGTCACCACACTGGAAGTGATTCATGTTCACATTACGTGTGGAGTGATTCATTATATGATATCTATAGTGATTCAGAGGAAGAAAATAAATCTTTAGTACCTATAGGTGACAAAGCTTATTTGAACTTTTATCAGGTATAGTCATTAAAGAACTAGATTTACCCAATGTCTGAACTAGTTCCTGAGAGTGAACAAAATTCTTTGGAAGGTGCAATTACTTTTAAATGAGTATCTCTAATGTATGACAACAGAGGATGTCAACCAGTGACACAGAATGATCACCAGCATCTGTATTTGGTACTGGCTGTTTTAACCCAGTTTCCTAGAAGCAGATCTTGAGACTCTGAGATTTGGATGCAGGAGGTTTATTGGGGCATGCTCTCAAGAGCAACACCTGTAAGGGGTGAGGGATGCTGGAATGGGCAGAGGAAAACCTGAACCCTGATGCAGTTGCAAATGACAACTCAGCTGACCCCAATGGTAGCCTTGAAGCTGGGATGGACGGTCAGAGTTGTCCTGAATTGAAAGAGACTAGCGTGCTAAGATTTTGTACCCTCATATCCAGATTTTAAATCTCTGCAAAGCACCTTCCATTATCAGACATTTAAAAAATCTATCTGTATGTCTGTCTATATAGCTATCTATATCTATCTGTTTTTTCTCCTTAGCCAGACTTCAAGCTTCATGAAAGCAGAAACTTGTCATCTTGTTCTGTACATTAACTCCTAGAACAGTGCCTGGCCTACGGTAAGTCCTGAGAATTCTGTGTTAAGGTGACTGGTTCCTACCCTCAAAGAGCTAACAAATCTGGTTTTGTATCAAAGATAATGTAAATGAAAAGTTAAACGCACTCAGCAAAAAAAAAGTAGAAGAGATGCTAAAAGGCAATACGTGCTTAAGTGCGCAATGAACTTTTTATCATAAAGCACCGATTTTGTGAACGTGAATAGGAGGAAGTGGCTCCTCACAGTATTGTCAATCTTTGCTCTACTGGTGAGATTGTAAATTCTAAAAGCCAGTTTTGAAAAGAGGGCGGAAGTCACAGGTGGAGATGGTGGAGAGAAGAGAGGAGGGAGAAGTGAAGAATAAACAAGCAGAGAATTTGCATGCGAACTTCAGCTCCTGCACGTTTGTCAAGAGCAGCCTAGCTTGCCCTGAGATGAAAGCCTTAATAGCTGGTGCTTGCGCTGAGTAACAGTGGGATGAAATCTTCTAAGTTATAACTTTCCACTCCTAATGAGGTTCACCTCCCCCCTCCCCTCCAGCCTCTTCTTTTTGGCCTAGTGAGATGAAGTTACAATAGTTTTTTTTTTTTTTTTTTTTTTAAAAAAAAAGGAAGTTCTCTTCCGTAGATAGCGGTGCGACACAAAAAAGTGTGTGCAGTGGGGTAGGGTGGAGTGAGGAGGCCATCACCTTCCATGGAATCCGCTAGTCCTTGGCCTCCAAACCATACAGAGGGCCGTCCTCCACAGCTTCGAAATAGGCCAGGGCCTCAGGATATAAGGGTATGTTTAGCTTCTTGAGGACATTTGTTTTTCTAAACGCCTTCTCTTTCCAAAATCTGGCAAGTGTTAGTAATCTTCAACTCGGCACGAACCCACAAATGTGCGTGTGTGGCTAGGCGGGTTCAGATCAGGCCCCGCCCTCGACCTCAGGCACACTCTAGCACACGCAGACTTTAAGGCCAGAACGCGTTTCTGGACTTGGCGTTGATCGTTCCCGAGTCTCTAGCCCCAAAGTCCCCTCGGCCTCCTCCTCCTAAAGGGGAGGGCCCATAGGCGCCAAGCCAGAGCTGAGCGCAGAAGAAAGTTTTGAAGTGCGGAGGAGAGTTTGCGAAGAGCAGCTCCGCGGGCCGCTGGAGGAAGGGAACGAGAACGGAGAAGTCTCCACTCCAAGTTTGTGCCGCCTTCGCTGCGGCCGGGGGGCGCCTGCCCCGCGGCGCACTACAGCAGCTAGACTTCAGCCCTCTGAGTGGAATGGGACTGCCTGTTCTGATCCAAGACCGGAGCTAGAGGCTCGGCCTCAGGCCGGGAAGGAAACTTCTCTCTCGAGCTGTCGCGGTGGGCCCTCATTGTCTGCAGGAACTCTCCGGAATCGAGAGGGGGAGGACTGGATCGCGCTTCCACAGGGATTCATCAAGAGTTCCGGCGGCAGCTGCGGCGGTTGCAGAGACTCTCTTTGTCCTCCTAGGACCTCCCTCCCTCCTCTTCTCCCTTCCTCTGTCAGTCCGTAGGTCCTGTTGTCCCACGCGCCAGCGCCCCGGGTGCTCATAGCCGCCCACCCTAGGGTGCGTCCCTGGTGACTCCGCCACCTTCGCGTCCCCACCAAGCCAAGCCGAGGAGGCTGCGAGCTAGAGAGAAGCTCAAGTCCCTGGTTGCAGGATGGTAACCGGGACTTCCCGGGCCCGCAGCCCCAGGAGCTGGTTGTTCCCCGGGCTGTGGCTGCTGGTGCTCAGCGGTCCTGGGGGGCTACTGCGCGCCCAGGAGCAACCCTCCTGCAGAGGAGCCTTTGATCTCTACTTTGTCCTAGACAAGTGAGTACCGGAGAAGTCTAGGGTCTCCTGGTGAGGTCGGCACTGGATCAGCTGTGACTGGGGTGGCTTAAGGATGGGTGTGTGCGCCCTGGGGAGGGTATTGGAAACCCGCTAATGGGTGCCCTGTTGCCATCTCTTCCGAAGGGCAAGCACTCTCTGATCTGTGACCGTTGGGCAAGGGGTCGGGTGAGGGTGGTAGGAGGCGCCCTCGGCCACTTGGCTTCTGGAGTGGTAGGGTATTCAGTACTTGCCAGTCATGGAGTCTCTTGGAAGTGGGAGTGTGGCCACCTGGGATAGTATTCTGCGTCCCAGGAACCGAAATGGGACTCTTTCGGCCTTTCTGTCCTCCTACTCCCCTGCACCCCTTATCCCATGCTAGCTAAAGTTTGCCTGGTGTTTCTCTGATCACAAAGCTTTCTTTCGAACCGGGAAAAGCCTGGGGTTAAGATGCCTGGTGTGGTTTGCATTTCCTGCTAAGAAAGATTTTTGTGTTTATCTTTGAAAAGCCATGTCCTACTCTAAACCGTTAGCAGGTAGGTTGTCTCCCAAAGATGTGCTGACTTCTTGGCTCTCATAGGCCCTGAGCTTCAGCTACAGATACCTTTACCTTGCTAGAAGAAGAGGCCAGGTTGCTCCCATCTGCGCCCGTGTTGTAAAAGGAACCAGTTTGAAATGTTTACACTTCAGGCCCATATTTTGTTTTTCTAATCAGTTCAATTTCATTTTTTTCAGGTCTGGGAGTGTGGCAAATAACTGGATTGAAATTTACAGTTTTGTCCAGCAACTTACTGAGAGATTTGTAAGGTATGTTTTCCCACTTTACTTTTCTAGGCAGGGGAGTTTGAGGTAGAGAAGAAGTAGACCAAAGCTCAGAGGATATGCAGGGAAACCTCTTTTGAAATGTTGACTTTTTAAGTGCCTAAAGGTTGGTTATTGTACACCTGCTGTTATTAGGACAGCCTCTGAGTCCTCAAGGGCTTATTTCACCTGGATCCCACAAATTTGGCTCAGGTTCTGGGGAAGCATCTTCAAATACTATTCCAAATGTCTTTTCCTTTCCTAATTTTCATCTGTTTTGAATTTCGGCTATGCTTTCTCAGAATTTATCACATTAAAAATAAATTTTATGCTAATAGTATCCATAATATATTTTCCACACAATTCTTAGTATTGTGGAGGTCCTCATTAAGAAAAAGAAAAAAAAAAAGTGTTGGAAAACTTCAAATGAGCATGTGTTAATAACCCACTACCAGAAAAGACACTTGTGTGTGTGTTTAAAGAAATGACTTGTGTTTACACAATGTGTGGGTGTGTGGCTGGTTTAAAATTTAACTGTTCTATATAAGCAATAAGCCTCACTAGGAAAGACTGGTTTTCTCTCCTTAAAAAAAAAAAAGCATAACTGCTATGAAATCCAGCTTACTCTCTTATTTAGAGGCAACTAGGAATTAGTGGTATCTCCCATTTAAAAATAGCTCCAGAGAACCAAGATTTTGAGGTTTTTTTTTTTCTTTTTAAGTAGAAAAAGAATGCAAGGAGCAAATATAAATTTATCAAGATAGTGGAAAGGACATGGACAGAGCTGTATCATTAAATATTGCTTCCTTCAGTCTTGTTAGCCCAAATGTTTTCTGTAGAACAGGCTTGGATGATCAAAACATTTTGAAAGTCATGCTGCAAGTAACTTCAAACAATCTGTGGAGGCCTAGGCAGTTCTTGCTTTCAGTCATTGGCAACAGGAAACTTCTTCCTATAAAAATGTATGCTTGTACGTGTTCAGTCCCCACCCCGTTGCTTACGAGGACAAGTATAACAATTCATTTCTGGACATAGTCTGAGGTAAAACTTTCTGGGAAAGAAAACTAAACATTCTTATATTCTTAAATATAAAAGGCAGAAGAGACAGTTTATGAATTTTCTGATTTAATCCGAGAGTGTGCGAGGAGTATCACATAGATTTTGATCGTAAGCAATGCATCATTTCAATACAACATTTTAAAGAAGTTGAGTTCTTATTTATTTGCTCTGGTTTGCAAGTTGAAGTTCTGTAATACACAGTTGCTTGGTTCAAGTTTAATTTACTCAGTTACTAACAAAATAATATAGGAAGTTAATAAGAAGGCACTCCATAAGAAAATGTCTTTTAAAATTTGTCTAAGTCTTTTGACATAATTCTGATCTTCAGTTTATAGATCTTAGTTTCAGATCTTAGTGAATAGCTGTGTACTGTGTCCTAGAAATGAGAACCATTTTGTGAGATATTTCTCCCAAAGCTTGAGACATTGCTGACTATCGCCAGTTGTTGCCAGTTGGAAATACAGTGGTTGAGACTTGGGAAATTGAAACTGTACAACCAAGATATGCTTTATTAGTTTATTTTACATTTTCCATGATATTCTTTAAGTATTCTTATTTCAAGGTGACTTTTATATGAACTCATGTCGTAATTGTAGCAATTAAGCCAAACTAGCTGCTCTCTAGCACTAAATATTGCCGAGGATAACGTTTCTGAAGAGTCTGGTCTCCTTTAAGGATATAGTGTGGAACACCAATGGTGGCGCAATGGTTAAGCGTTCATCTGCTAACCAAAAGTCAGCAGTTTGAATCCACCAGCCACTCCTTGGAAACCGTATGGGGCAGTTCTACTCTGTCCTATAGGGTTGCTATGAGTCAAAATCAACTCAACAGCAGTGAGTTTGGTTTTGGGAGGACACCAAAGGAAGAATTTTCTACAAAAGAATTTTACACTGACCTAGAATTTATCTTTCTAGTTAAGGAGCCCTGGTGGTGCAGTGGTTAAATGCTTGGCTGCTAACTGAAAGATCATTGGTTTGAACTTACCAGGAGAAAAGACCTGGTGAGCTGCTCCCATAAAGATTTCAGCTTAGGAAACCTTGTGGGGCAGTTTACTCAATCATGCAGGGTCACTATGAGTTGGAATCGACTCTACACACAACCATCACGACCACCACCACAGCCAGTTTCTTCCTAAGTGCAAGTTGTTATGAGCCATGGAGGAGTGCTCCAGTGCTGAGAAGTATTGATTAAATCCAAAATGACTTACGCAGTAATGTTAAGCAGAGTTACTGTATTTACTTAGAGAGTTCCATTTAAAAGAAGCCTGGGCCATTCAATGAGACCAATTTAAACTGAGACTCCCTAGCTGTATATCTGTATTACATCAATGTCTCTTTTAAAAATGTTTTAACTGCCTCTTTCTTTATTTTGCAGCCCTGAAATGAGATTATCTTTCATTGTCTTTTCTTCTCAAGCAACCATTATTTTGCCATTAACTGGAGACAGGTCAGTGCATTATCATTTCACTGCAGGCTTTTAGTAGAAACTAATCTTAAAGCAGTGATTGATATTTCCAAGCGGTGATTTAGGCCTCTCAATGGAATCAAGCAAATACACAGACAGTTCAGCCCTCTTCACTAATAGAGAGGAAAGGAGGTATGAGTAATACAAAAGAGCAGATAATCCTAAAATCAATGTAATTTATATTGGCTTTGAAATGTACAAAGAAACCAAGATTCCTGACTTACTTGTATATGCACATCTTTCTACTTTCCCATGTCTGCTACTGCAAGTAGTTATATATATATCTTGTTTAGATATAATATATTAATCAAACAAGAACTCTGAGTACACTGGGAAGGGGAAAGATGTGGTTCTGTTTGGATAATTTACTGGAATCAGAAGACATCCTGGATCTCCAGTTTTACTCTGAGGTCCACTGATGCTGAATGCATTTGTCTTTCTGTAGAAATTAAAAGGATCTTGCTTTCTATTTCATTCTATCTCTCTCTTTCTCTCTGTCTATCTTATCTATCTTTAATGCTTTTGAAAGATATACCTTTTTTCAAACCAGCATCACAGTATTTCAGACGACCATTTCTATGTTATTTGTACCCATGTGGAAAGTTGAAATTGGTCATTGACCTACTTTGAAGGGTGGCTGCTTTCCATGGGATCAGTTTTGAGTTCCACAGTGGGAAAGGACATTGTCTTATTCATTTTTATACCTACTTTTTTTAGCACAAAGTGTGTGAGATCAATTCTTGTTGAATGAATGAATGAGTTCGTATTATTTCGAACAGGAATTTCTCCAAATTGCAATTTTAGCAATGGAGGCTGGTGTACTTAAAAATGGCAATCTGGGCATGATTTAAAGGGATTCATAGAGATAATTTGTTTGTAATTCACAGAATTGTTTCAGAAGATTATATGTTTATCTACCTTCCGTATTCTAATTTGTACTTTAACTATTGCTAGAGAGGAAATTGCTTTGAAGGTGGGGCCGACCAGCCTAGGTCCTCAGTCTTCCCATCGACACTTCCTCTTCATACTTTCTTGTGTGCATCTGGGTCTCATCATGGGCCAGAGAAGTGGTTCCTTGCAACCCATATACAACAGGTTTCTGTGTCCAGTGATATAAGAAAAGAGTTCTTGCATTTATGAAAAGAAATTTTCTCTACTGCCTGGCTTAATTTCCAATGAAACAGCTTTGGATGCAGCCTAGTTATTAGAAGAAAAAGAGGGTAATCTAACATTTATGGTATACGGACCATAAATAAATACATACTACACACACATACACATAATCACTTAGCAAAATGCCAGACATAAAGTTGACTCTCAGTAATTGTAAGTTGCATATATTGTGCTAGGTTCACTGCTAGGTACTGTGTTTGGGCCCTCTAACACTTTGAAAATATAGTTTAGTCACTCATCAGTCAGGTTAATATTGTGTAGGTGTGCGTGGAAAGGGTTTAAGTCTTTAATCTAAGTGAGTGATTCTTCCCTTATCATTAATTGCATGTAATAGGGGAGAGACTGGAATAGGACAGAGGAGGTTTCTCTTTTAAGAGGCAACAAGTTTGCAGTCAAGAGCAAAGCCACTGGACCAAGTCTACCCGAGCTTATAGCCTGGCTCTACAATTTATTAGCCAAATGGTCATGGGAAAATTACTTATCCTCTTCTCTATGTCACGGTTTTTTCCATCCATATAATGATGATGAAGATGATAATGATAATAATATCTACTTCATAAGGTTGTTATAAGGATTGAAGTTAATGAATGTGGAGAATGTAGAACAGAACCTGGCACATAAGTCTTCAATAGATAAAAGCTTCATTATTACTGTTCTTTTTATTAGCTGGGTGGCTAAGGGTTAAGCATTCAACTACTAGCTGAGAGGTTGGTAGTTCAAACCCATCTGGAGTGCCTCAGAAGACAGTCCTGACAATCTGCTTCTGAAAGGTCACAGCCTTGAAAACCCTATGGAGCAGTTCTGCTCTGGACACATGGGGTCATGATGAGTAAGAATGGACTTGACAGAAACTAATAACAGTAACTAATAACAATAACAGAGAATATGCAGTATTTTGATGATCAGGGAAGAATTAGCCTTCTGTGAAGGGAATATTGTCCTATTTTAAAGGATTTCTGAAATTCCAGGAATTTTAATAATGCTATTGTCAGATTTTTTTATAGATAGCTGGCTCCTCTGTCTCCTTCTGTATCGAAATACTTTCAGTTTTAATGGATTTCACTATTTGCAGCATGTTGGATTAGTTTGCAGTGGTGAAAATTATGCAGAGAAGGCCCAGGTTAGGGTTCCAGTTTTGCCACTTACTGACTTGGAGACTTAGGGGCAAGTCATCTACTCAGAGTATTTATGTTTATAAAATCAGCCATGTTTTCTTAAGAGAGTTGCTGAGAAGTTCCAAATATGACAATGTATAGAAAAACACTTTGTACACCATAGAAGAATCTCCAATGAAGAATATTTTCTTCTCCTACATTGTGTTTTTACTAATTTTGTTTGAGTCAGTAATGTTTTAAATTTCTGTGGTCCTCTAATATTTTAATAATCCAAGAAGCTGAACTATATGAAGAAGAACTTGGTATCAGGAGTGGTGGAAGGCTCATTAACAACCTGCAATATGCAGATGACACAACCTTGCTTTCTGAAAGTGAAGAGGACCTGAAACACTTACTGATGAAGATCAAAGACTATAGCCTTCAGTATGGATTGCACTTCAACATAAAGAAAACAAAAATCCTCACAACTGGACCAATAAGCAACATCATGATAAACGGAGCAAAGATTGAAGTTGTCAAGTATTTCATTTTACTTGGATCTACAATCAACGCCCGTGGAAGCAGCAGTCAAGAAATCAAATGACGTATTGCATTGGGCAAATCTGCTGCAAAAGACCTCTTTAAAGTATTGAAAAGCAGAGATGTCGCTTTGAGGACTAAGGTGCACCTGACCCAAGCCATGGTATTTTCGGTCACCTCATATGCATATGAAAGCTGGACAATGAATAAGGAAGACCAAAGAAGAATTGATGTCTTTGAATTATGGGGTTGGTGAAGAATATTGAATACACCATGGACTACCAGAAGAATGAAGAAGTCTGTGTTGAAAGAAGTACAGTCAGAGTGCTCTTTGGAAGTGAGGCTGGTGAGATTTTGTCTCTCATACTTTGAACATGTTATCAGGAGGGACCAGTCTCTGGAGAAGGACATCATGCTTGGTAAGGTAAAGGGTCAGTGAAAAAGAGGAAGACCCTCGACGAGATGGATTGACACAGTGCTGCAACAATGGGCTCAAGTAGCAATGATTATGACAATGGCGCAAGACCGGGCAGCGTTACATTCTGTTGTACGTTGGTTCACCGTGAGTCACTTTTCATCCGTTACACACTTTTACGTTTGTGGGAACAATTTTATCTTTAGATGCCAGATCATGGAACAAATACTTTAACAACTATTACAGACCTTTGTTTCAAAGTCTGAAAATTAGAATTCTACATACAAACTTTCTTAAGGTCATATGTCTCACTTACAGATAAGCTTGAGGGCATGAGAAATGCCAAGGTTAAGCAAAGAAAAGCAAACGTTAAGTAGAGCAGGTTTCATAATTTCAGTTCTATTACTCATAATGCTTCAGAACCTTGGTAAATATGAGAAGTCCCTCTTTCATGTTTCTCAGAGTGTTGCTAAAGATTTTCAGTAGAAATGAGGCAAGACTGGAAGATGGTAGTAAGTCCTTGCCGTAGGGCCATGTCTGTGTTACAGTTTAAAATGGCATTCTCCACTATGTAAATGCACAAAATAGAATAATACACATGACAAGAAATTATCAGTTATAAATTTTGTGTCCTCATCATTTTAATACTTAATTATTTCAAACACTTCAATTTGAAACCTTCTTTTTTTACCTCTTGCTCCCATGATTTTTATCCTTCATATGTCTGTTAGTCCATCCATTCACCTACCTATCTGCCTGCCTGCCTACCATATGTATAATATATTGAGCACTGTGACCTCTGAGGAGAACACAAAGATGAATAAGCCACTGTGGTGGAGGGTGGCAGGGAGGGGCGAGGGGTTGTGCACATGCACCAGTTTAGCTCAGGGCTATATTACAGGGTCAGGTGTTGATTCCATATGGAAATATCCAACCCCTCAAAATTAGAGAATTTGGAGTCAGGACTAGTTTTAAGGAATATTTTTAGTTACTATGTTGCATAAGTGGGGATAGTGGAGTATGCTCAGTTCTGCTCGATATCATCTTAACACTGTAATAGTGCTGTAGTTGAGAACACTTACTGAGCACTTACTGTGTGCCAGACGGTGTGCAAAGTGTTTTCCATACATTACCTCAGTTAATCATCACGTCAATTCCATGAAATAGATAGTATTATTATCTCAATTTTACTAATGAGGAAGCTGAAGCTAAGAGAGGCAATGTAGCTTGCCCAAGGACACACAGTTAATAAGTGGTGAGCAGTATATTAGCCAGAATGATCTTTTAAATATATAGCACATCATGCCACTTTCATGCTTAAAGCAATATAATGACTTAGAATAGAAAGCCAACTCTTCACCATGGCCTAAAAGCCCTACCTAATCTGCCCACCTCGTCTTCATCTACAACATCGTGTGCCACGGTCTAGCCCAGCCGGCCTTTTTTTCATTCTGTGAATACGCCAAGATTTCGCCTACATTAGGACTTTTGTTTTTTCTTTGCCCCGTATCTTTTACTGGCTGACTTTTTCTTGTCACTCAGGCCTCATCTCATGAGTTACCACCTCTGAGAGGCCTTCCCTGGCTACCAAATCTAAAGGAACTCCCCCGACACCCAAGTAATCTCTTATAACACAGTAATCTCTTTGAACAGTTTCTAAAGTTATTTTGTCAATCATTTTATTTTTATCTCCATGAACTTGATGTAAACTTTATAAGAGCAAGGAACCTTCGTCTTGTTCACCCATATATCTCAGCACC